ACAACAACAACAACAACAACAACAACAACAACAACAACAACAACAACAACAACAACAACAACAACAACAACAACAATGATAACAACAATAACAACAACGACAACAATGATAACAACAACAATAATAAACCCTTTGCAGCTATAAGCCTTAATGCAATGGGTCGAACATTGACAAATACTGATGCGGATGAACAAACTATTTCTCGTATCATAGAAAAAAATGCTCATACAATACAAAATTCAAGCATTAATGAACACACAATATCACAAATTATTGAGAGAAATAATTTGACTGTCCTTGGTGGTGCTGGTAGAACAAGAATGATGGGTAATCAGGTGAATAGAGAATTGAATGTTACTGCCAAAGCTGTTGAAAGGAATCAACTTACCATTCACAGTATAAATGAACGTGAGGATATGTCATTGATGCCTGATTCAGAAACCAAAAGAAATGAACCGAAAATTAGTTGGCAATGTTGTGTAGACTATTTTAATAAATCTACTGGATTCACTTTAACATTTTTAATGATCCTTTCGTTTTTTTTAATTGCTGCAGTAAGAATATTCAGTGGTTAGTATTTAACAAGAGTTAATTATTAATATTGAAAATATTAAATTTTCTCAAAAAACTATTTATTTATATATAATACTCTAAGATTGGTGGCTTATAAAAGGAATAAAGCACAATTTAAATTATGGTGTTTTTCTTGGAGTATATGGAGCACTTGTGGTAACATTTTGTTAAGAATGTTTTAAATAATACCAAATTATACAATTGTTAGAAAATGATATTTTGACTTTTTTTTTTGAATGCTCTTTTAGGGTATAATTATTTTAGGTGTTTTTATACGTGGCGTGTTTTTCGCTTGGGCAATGATGAGAAAAAGCATGTCTTTACATGATCGAACATTTAGTGTAAGTAAATAATAATGTTAATAAATAATGATAACAAATAATAACAGATTATTAATTGATTTTTTTTCAAAAACAACTTTTATTTCCATTTTATTATTATTGTTTAAAGAGAATTATGCGAGCACCAATGGCTTATTTTGATATTACACCTCTTGGGAAAATCTTAAATGTATTTGCAAAACATCAATATCTAGTTGATGATGTTTTAACTGACAACTTTTTAACAGTAAGTTTTGAATAACAATATTTAAATAATGATTGTTTTATAATAATTTTCATTTGTATTCATTTGTCTTTTTTTATATAATATATACATACACATCTCTTGGAAATTATTAGTTTGTGTCATTTTTGCCACTTATCATCGGAACAATTGTATTTGTAATAATACTTGTACCATGGACAGGATTAGCTGTTGTTGTATTAATATTCCTTTTATGGGTTTTAATATATTATTCAAGAGATGTTGAAGAAAGATTTAAACAATTAGACGGTATAATGAAACCAAGATGATAGTAATGATAGCATCAATTGTGGATAAATTCCATCAATTTATTAATTTAAATAATAAATTTTAAAAAATTTTTTTTTTTAGCCGATAGCAAAGCATCAATATTTTCACATTTGTCAGCCACATTAGAAGGGCTTCCTAGTATTCGTGTTTACAACGCACAAACGAGATTTGATGAACAAAACATTGATAAAATAGATTCAAACAATAAAGCTTTATTTGCAATGATGCAAGGTATGAATTAATAATAAATAATAGTTATGGCGATGATAATCTGATAATATAATAACTAAACCAATTGTTTTTTTTTAATAAAAATTAATATTACAGTACAAGCTTGGCAATCATTATATATCGACATATTGGCATCGCTCTTCATATATGCAACTGCTATATCTGTTATTTTAGATAATAAAGATCCATCTATAGCCGGTTTGGCAATCGCTAGTTCATTACAATTACCTTTATTTGGTCAATGGATGGTTAGATCTGGTCGTGATGTAATTTCAATAATGGAAAGCGTTCAACAATTACTTTATTATCGACAGGAAATACCCTCTGAGGTGTATATTATATGACATACTATAGAATAATGATTATTGTTTTTAAATAAATAAATAAATAACTTTTTTTTGTCATTTACTTATTTAGGCTCCAAATATAATTGAAAATAATCGGCCACCATCAGAATGGGGAAACCGTGGCGAGGTATAAAAAATATTGCCATTGATTATAACAAGCATATATAAATTGAGATATTATTTAAAACGCGTGCATTTATTTATTGAATTTTTCATTAGATTGAATTTAAAAATGTTATATTACGATATAATGTTTACGGTGTCGCAGTATTAAAAGATATTTCGTTTCATATTCAACCACGTGAAAAAATTGGCATAGTTGGAAAAACCGGATCTGGTAAGTTTCATTCTTCCTCTCCAACTTTTTTTTTTTTTGGAAAATCTATACATCACAAATAGACATTAATTAAAAGATAAATAAAAAAATAAAACCATGATTATTAGGAAAATCTACTTTATTAGTAAGTTTATTAAGAATAGTAGAATTGGCAGAAGGACAAATATTAATTGATAACCTGGATACTAAAACTATCGGTTTAAGAGATTTAAGGAATAAAATTGCAATTATCCCACAAGGTATCATCTTTTAATTAATAAATATGTACATATTTATACTATTTATATAAACATTAATATATATATAATAATATATAATAAATAGAACCAGTAATATTTGCTGGTACAATAAGATCAAACCTTGATCCATTTAATAAGTGTACCGAGGAGGAAATATGGGAGGCTCTTAGAGCAGTACATTTAGAAGATAAAGTGAAATCCATGCTAGGAAAATTAGATGCACAAGTTCTTGAGAACGGAAAAATTTTTTCATTAGGTCAAAGGCAATTGTTTTGTATAGCAAGAGCACTTTTGAAAAAAACTAATATTTTAGTGTTGGATGAAGCAACTAGCGCTGTAGATTTACACACTGATGTTCTTATCCAAGAAACGATCAAAAAAAATTTCGCTGATCATACTGTATTAACAATCGCCCATCGATTGGTTAGTATTATTATTATTACATCTTCTTTTTTTAAAAAAATGATTTATTAACATATATCTGTATATTGCAGAATACAATGGTGGAAGCCGATAGGATACTATGTTTAAATGAAGGAAGAGTTATAGAATTTGATACGCCACTTAATTTATTAAATAATCAAAATGGATTCTTCTATCAACTTGTAGCATGTAGTGGGTCACAAGCAGCAGAAAAACTTAAACAAATGACAATACAACACGCAAATTCATCAAATTCATATTCAACAGCTTCACAACCTTTACCAGTAGTTAAATCTCAAGAATCAATATCTACAACAACAACAACATCATTGTCATCATTATCACCGAAAATAAAAGAAGGGTTAGAAAAGGATACACAAAAAACTGTTAGATCAGTGGCGGAGGAGAAAAATAGTGACGATGATGATCATGATAATAAAAGTAGTAGTAGTGTTAAATTATCATCATCACCATCACCGTCAACGTCAACACCACCATCATCATCACCATCACCATCACCATCACCATCACAATCACTGTCACCATTACTGTCACCGTCATCTACACTCCATTCTTCTTCCACAAATGAAATGACCTTTTACACATGACGACAAGGAGATTTTCAACGCACATCATATATACCACCACTAATAGAACTAACAACAACAATAATAATTGTTATTGTGACCTTTGATTACAGTAATAAATGTGTGAAATGTATAATTTACACATGATTTGAATCTTTTTTTTTGATTTTATTCTTTGTTATATGAATTTACACATTTTATGCATTTATTATTGTTTTTTTCTCCAATTTCTTTAAAATTAAAAAAAAGAGAAGATGATGTGATGTTGTTGATTGATCTTTAAGCTATATATATATAATTTACATTGTTAAATTTACAGTGTATTATTAATATATACTGTTATTTTACTGTATCAATCAAATTAATAGAATAAGTAAGATAAATAAATAAATGCAAATTCTAAATTAAGTTTCATTCAAAAAGCTGTTACAATATAAACAAAACACACACACGCATTGATTTTTAATTTTTTTAATATTTGCCAAATTCGTAATTTTTATTATTTATTACATAAAGATGATAAAAAATTGCCAGTCAATTTTAACTTTAATCTTTTTTTTTTTGAATTTTCTCACTTTAATAATAATTTATATTTGGTAGTGATACTTTTGTCATAAATATAAATTATATTTTATTTCTTTATTTGGATTCTTCCTCTTACTCTTTCTCTCTCTCCCTCCCCCTTTCTCGATTTATTTAGTAATTTAATTGGTAATTAAATTGGTAATTAAAAAGTACATTATACTACTTGCAATTGGAACAAAGGAAAATTTTAATTATTATTTCACGTTCGTTATCACAATCATTATCATCATTATCATCATTATTATACATTATTGTTATTATTATTATATCACAGTCTATTTCCTATAATATAAATCTTATTTATTTAATTAACACCTAGTCAACAATCACAGTTCAGCCAATTCGTCTTAACTTCGCCTCAATTTTACTTCGATTTCACCCCAAACTCATGATCCATTGCTATTTCCACGTTATTGTTTAATTAATTATGTATTGTGTTTCATAAATCAAACCCTAAAAAAGAAACATCTTCTAAAATAAGAAGAATTTTAATGAATGAATGCAATGTAAGAATTGCAATAACATATTTCCTAAAAATAAAGAATGGTTTTTCTTTTCCTTTTTAACTTCTCTAATCATTTATAAATATCAATAATAATTGAATCGTGATCTTTTTAAAATTATGATTTTTTATATAGTTAATTTTCAGGCAAAAAAATCTACTGCTTAATTTAGTATATGTAATACTTATTCGGCTAATTGAACTAGCATACATGGTTGATTAATTAATCATTAAATCAATCAATCTTAATTTAAATGGTAGCAGATGCTATCAGCAATTCAAGGAAGATTTTTAAAGTTATTTTTTTTTTAGTCACCTGAAACTCCAACAAAATCAATCATCCATATAAAGTATACATAATAAAGATGATTGTGACGCACACGGTTGTACAACAACTTGCTGATTGCTGATCGCTAGATTTTTTTGAACGACACCTAAAGTAATACCGCATAACTTGTTTGCTATTTTCTAGGTAATAAATAAAAAAAAGTGACAAACAATAAAAAATGGATATAGACTATCTGATCTTACAAATGGTTAGACTCTTTATCATTGTCCAATCTTTCAGCACACTATTAACTTTTGGCAAGTAGGATGTAATTCAAAAAATAAACAGGTCAATCAGCATCCGTCTACACAAAACTCTTTTCAATCAAAGATCTACAAGAAATACTACAAGATAAAAGCATTATCTAAAAATCATAAAAGAAAAAGGATATTTATCTGTTTGTTTAATAATACATTGAATATTGTGGATACTCTCGAATAGTTGCTAATCACGCTAATATATAGCAGCAATAGTAATAGTAATAATAACCATATAAATAATGGCATTTTATTAATTAGATAATAGAAAAAGATACAAAACTTTTAAAATATATAATCCATTAGATATCGCAGAAAAAATTAAATAACAGTTTTCAGGTCTAATAAAGATTTTTTTTAGATAACTTTGAGTATGAATGATACTCCTAGTATTTTTAACAAATACGCTGAAATATATAGTTCTTCTTTTTTTGAACCATTCACTATGTAGACAGACATACAATCAACAAAGTTTTAACCTGTTGAAAAAAAATGAAGTGTGATCTGTAGCAGCATGCAAAAATTTCACAAAAAATCTATTAATTAGCTCAGGAAATGAGGAAACAGAGTTTATGTTTAAATATTTAACATGCAAGTGCAAGTTTAAAAATTGAACCTGGGAACTTTAATATGGGTTCCTTTGTTTTTGGAAATAAGAGTTTTTCTTCGGATTCGAACAAACGAAATGCATTACAATTGTTTATTTGATGCAATTTGATACGATGATCCTTTATAAAATATATAATGGATTAAAGGAACCTCCTTTTATTAATCAAAAAGGGTAAACCATTTATTATTTATGTCTAATGATTTTTAATAAACAAAAATGAATCATTAGTGATTTAACATGTCTATAATATTTGTTCTAAAAAGACTATCAATAATATTCAAGTATTAACAAAATATAATTATAAACTAATTAATGAATGACTCAATGTTAAATCATTTAGCAATTGGAAACAACAATAAGATCTTATGCATGGAGAAATTTCTGCCTACTTGCAATACTCGCTCATTAATTCGATATACAGTCAAAAAAAACCAGATTCAATGATAAATTCGAGTTCACTCACTTTCTCCCCTTTTGGAGAAGAAATTATTATTAAGAATTTATTATAAAGAGATTGTGCGGCAAATTTTCAAAGAATATTTTTATCAATATTAATTAATAATTTAATAAATAAATAATAAAAACTCAAGAAAATAATTTTTGAATAGTGTTTATCAGATATCAGTAAGAAATACCATTATCATTTAGATATTTTCTTTAACCTTGATTCTATTTTTTTTTGTTGAAAAAAATTAATAATATTATACAAGTTATTAATATTAATGATAGCAACAATAATAAATAATAAATAATAATATTTACCTAATTCTTTTGAATAATCATCCAATTCATTTGTTACTTTTTCTAAAAAGTCAACCTGTTCACTTATTTCATCTATTTGTTTAACATATGGTTCAAAATCACTATCTATTTATTTTAGAAAAATAAATAGATTATTATTATATAAATTATAACAAATACATTATTATTGTGATGCTATTTCTATTAATAAGTAATCTTACAAATTTCTTGTAATTTTGACATTTCCACAACTAAATTTTGTGCCATAAACGACATTTCATTATATCTTTCTTTTGTAAGTATATTCATATTTTCCAAAAGTCTATAATCTTCAGTTGTAGCTAATAATAATGATGATGATGATAGTAAAATTTAAATAAAATTTATTATATTGTTTTGGAAATTTTCTTTTTACCTAAAATTTCTCCTTTTAAATATTCTGTAACTTTTTTAAACATATTTTCTGTTAATTTATTAACATCTTTTTCACTTTTATCTCCACCATCAGAATCATTAGATGTTGATGATGACATGTTATCAGATGATGTTTGTCTATTCATTGATATTTCTGAATGTACTGATGTATGTGTTGCTATTGTAGTTCTATGTGTACGTGATGAAGCAGTAGTTGATGAACTTGGAGACAACAAGTTATTATTGCTGCCGCTGCTGCTACTACTATTATTATTATTACTACTACTACTGTTATTACTGCTATTACTATTAATTGACGTTAATGTGGACGATACTGTTGCTAATGTTGTTAAAGGATGATAAATGTTTGAAGTTAATGATGAAAATGTTGAACTGAGGGCTGATGTTGTTGAAGTGAGAGCAGAGGAAGTGGTTGAAGCGAATGCTGATGTAGTTGAAGTAAGTGCCAAAGCAAATGTATTTTTTGTGCTGTTAGTATTATTACTACTAGTAGTATTATTATTAATGACATTATTATTATCGTTATTATTATTATTATTAGATGATGATGACATAATTATGATTTATGATTTATAAAGTTAATCAAGATAATTTTAAAAATTTTGTGCAAGTGTTTATTTTGTCTAATTCAAAAAAATTTTTAAAAAAACAAAAGTATTCCTCCCCTTCAAGTGAATAAAGTTTGTGTTGCTAATTAATTCTCAAGTAAACAAACTCCCATAAAAAAAAGTTTTTTTTTTTACAAAATTCTTATTCATTGGAAAACGTCCGCTACTATAAGTGTTGTAGCTGAAATAGCAGATAAGGATATTCAAAACTGGTTTGCAGTAACATTCTCCATGAAGATTGTGCGAATAATTGCTTCTTTTCGTGATAATCGACATTAAAAAAATATGAAGATAAAATGTCAATAAACTTTTGTTTTTTTTACGTGGATGCTCGAATAGATAGTAAAAATAAATAAAAAATAGGAATTGAAGAACGAATAGTCATTTACGCTTTGATTAATCATACATCATTTGTAAATAACATCTTCCTAATAATCTGTTGTTGTTAACAAGCCATTCGAGGATGTCATCAAATCAACCAACGAATGTTAAAAGTAAAATGAATTAGCCATTCATCACAACTATATACAAATAATTTTTTGCTTTCTGTTAAAAATTTTTTTATCAACGATTAGCAAAAGAAAGTTTTGAAAGAAATGATTTTATTAAAATAAGTTTTGCGAGTCAATTATTCCATTTGCCGATTTATTTTATGATTTAGCGAATTACACTCAACTATCATTACCGTCACCATTATCACAACAACAACAACAAACAACATCACAATAACATCACCATTACCACTACAGCTTCAACAACGTTACCATCGACAATCATATTATTGTGACTATTATGTATGTATATAATGTGCCACTCATCCGGAAAACAGTTATGATGGGCGTAGTGAGTAGATAGATCTATTTTTACAATAATGGTGGGCGTAGTGAATGAGTAGAATTGATGGATTTTAGTAAGAACATTTTAAATTTTTTTTTAAGTTGGGCATATATACACTATATACAAGATTTATTTGCGCACACATTAGACGAAGTACATATTCCACTTTAAAACAACATCTAACAGAAAAAAAATGATTGTTTGAATTTTAAAGTAATAAATTAAAAATGCTGCTGGTTTCGTCTTAATTTGTAGATTCAAACTAATTAAAACAAATTTTTCTAATAAATAAAATTCAACCAATCAAGAATTGTATTCAATCTTAAAATATTTTTTAATTGACAAAAATGTCAGGAAACCCAAAGAAAAAACATAAAGGAACAAAAGGTGAAGCTATACCTATCCAACGACATCATAAAAACCAACAACATCTTCCTCTTGACAAAAAATCCAAAGACGACGACGACGACGACAACAACAACAACAGCAACAACAACAACAACAACAACAACAACAACAAAAATAATAATAAACATCGTCGTAATCCTGACTCCTCTTTGATCGAAGAAAAAGAAAAAGAAAGTTCTAGTATTGCTGCTAAAGATGATGATAAAGATGATAATATAATAAATCAAAATCAAAGGAACAGCGACTATTTGAAGACTGATGTGTATCTTGTTCCAAAAGCTCCAAAACTTCCTAAAACATTTGAAGAAAAAGAAACGACACGTAGATTGATAGTTGTATTGGAGAAAGCAACACTTGAAACTTACTTAGTGCCAAAGTCTAGGCCACCACAATACCAGTTAATTAACTGTGATGAACATCAAAAAACTTTAAGAAAATTAGGTAAATTAGATGCAACTACTTATCGTCCTGATATTACACATCAGGTAATAATTTTTAGTTTATTTTGTTTCTTTTATGAAATAAAATATCTAATGATATTCATTATTATTATCAACATCATAATATAGTGTTTGATGGCTTTGTTGGACAGTCCCTTGAACAAAGCTGGTCTTATGCAGATTTACATTCACACTGCAAATAAAGTACTTATTGAAGTAAATCCTCAAGTTAGAATTCCAAGAACTTATAGACGATTTTCTGGTTTAATGGGTTAGTAGAAGAGATATTTAATTGTTTCTATTATTATTACTATCATTATATACGAATATAAATATTATTATTTTTTGATTCATTGTTAATCAAATTCCCAAAAAACTTCATTATTAATATTATTTATTAAAATAGTACAACTTCTTCATAAATTAAGTATACATTCAGTAGATGGAAATGAAAAATTATTACGTGTAATTAAAAATCCTATAACAAATTATCTTCCTACAAAATGTGTAAAATTAAGTAAGAAGAAGGAAGGATAATAATAATAACTTGTTTTTTCCAAATTTATTATTATTATTATTATTAATCCAATTTCATTCATATTTTTTTTAGCGCTGTCACATGATGCACGTCCTGTTCGATTATCACAATATCTACCAAGTTTACCTTCAGATCATTCAATTTGTATAGTAATTGGTGCAATGTCTCATGGTACTGACAATTTCGCTGATGATTGGATTGATGAGAAAATCGGAATTTCTCAATATCCATTATCTGCTGCTGTAGCTTGTTCAAAATTTTGTTGTGAATTAGAATCACTTTGGGGTATTTGGTAAATAGACAAATAAATAGGTTGGATAGATGGATTGATATATTAATTAACCAATTATTTTGCAAGAAAATTAAATATAATAGTCGATTAGCAAATAAAATCATTCATTTTATTTGTCACATAATGTTAATTGACATTGCATTTCATATTGGGGCGTAACATGTAAATCTAGAAAAAATGATATATTTCAACCTGTCCTGTATACCAATTAATCTACTTTCAACTTTGAAACAAGGACAATTGGCCCAGACCAATTTGAGTTAATGACACACATATATGCATAAGAGGACATACCAGACAAAGTGAACATTATGGCTAAGGCTCAATAACTATATTTGAAATGGGAAAAAAAACTGTTTTTGCGATCTTTGGAATTAAACAACAATGTAATAGAAAGTTTTTTTTTCAATTTTATTAATAAAAAAAGCCTTAGGGATACGAATCTTAGTCAAAAATGAAATTTGGCCAAGGAGATTTACCGGTGATCTTTCTTATTTACGAAAGATTTTGCCATTATATCACTTGACCAGGACAAATTAGAAATAAAGTTCAAGTATCCATTTGAATATATGTGGATTTTTATCATCCAGAAAATTTCATTTTTAATTACACAGACAGACTCGATAAGTCAGCCGCATAATTTATACTATTGAGTACTTTAAACAATTGATTACTGCGGGCTGACTTATCGAGTCTGTCTGTGTAGTTAGTAAATTTATTTAATTTGCCTAATTTATCTAATTTATCTATTGTAGTATTTACATCAAAAATTTGCTTCATACTATGCTTGCCACATTGGCATCCCATTTATATGTATGCGAAACAAATTTAATTCCTATATTATTCAAGGTATGTTAATACTGTAACAAAAAAAACTAGAATTTTTTTGGTGCAACTTAGAAAATGTATGTTTTTTTGTTCATTCTAGCAGCCAATTGCCATTACAATTCTATACAGAGATCATCCCTGAACTTATCACGAAGATCAAGATGCTGTTTTGATTTAAATAGAATTCTGAAAGTAATTATTTTAGTTCAAAATTTATTCGTGAGGGCTTCAATTTAAAAACGTGCTGTTAATTATGTGATGATTATTCAACAAGATTCATGTATTGAACATCAAAATTTTTGTTGAATGAGACATAGAGTAACGAATGCTAAAAAATCCTAAAGAATGAATGATATTAATTAGCAAGAATGGAATTTGTTGATTTTTACAAAATTAACTTTGTTGCCTAATATTAAATGAATTAAAAATAAGTTTCATATAAAATTTATATTAATGGAAACATCTGATTTTCAGCTCATTTGACATCTATTTTCATTGAGAAACAAGTAAATAATAATAAATAAAGATTTCCGGTTTTTTTGTTGCATGTTGTGCATGTTTTTATTTCCAGCGATATTATTGATTGGTTAATTTTGGTACGCTTGCTTTATCCAAAACTAAAGTTCTAGATTGAGTCGTGTGATTTTATAATGTTGTGACACATTGCTATTTTGGGATTTGACAATTTTGATACCGAAATATCAAAATGAAAAAACTGCCGAAAATGTCAAAAATGTCGAAACTGTCCAAAAATGCCGAAAATGCCGAAAATGTCAAAAATGCCGAAATATCAAACAATTTGAATAAAAGCGAATAATTCGGATAAAACGAATAATTCAAATAAAACAATAATAATAATTCGAATGAAAAAGAATAATAATAATTCAAATAAACGAATAATTCAATAAACACGAATGATTTGAATTAGTGTCAGTATTAGGTTGTATTACTATTACGAATAATTCGAATAAGAATTTGTATTACGAATAGAAATTCTAGACTAAGTAATCAATTAAAATAGTCGATTATTTAGTTGACTATTTATTTGAATATTAATATTAGTTGATCAAAAAAATATAGTCGAGTATACAAGTAGTTAGTTAACTAAATAATCAATTTCTAACCTCTAGGTTAAAACATGACGAAACTATATTAAAATATTACTAACAGTTAT